TGCAGGAAATAATGTTGGACCTGTACAATGAGGCCTTAGAATGAGCCAAAATACTGCAGACATGGACGGAAGTACTTATAACACTCATACCCAAAGAACAAACGGATCCCCAGCAAATTAAGAATTATAGAACGATTTCGCTCCTAAACATGAACTATAAGATCTTAGCCACAATAATGTCTGAAAGACTGAAAAAATTATTAAATGACGTTATTCATCTGGACCAAAATGGTTTTCTCCCAAATAGGCAGATAAAGAACAACACAATATTGATTATGGATGTTCTAGAATATTATGAGACTTATTCTAACAAACCAATGGCACTTACGTTTTTGGACATCCAGAGGCGTTTGATAATTTAAATTGGCGATTCCTCCTTGAACAACTATCTAAGATGCAATTTGGTGAAAAACATTATATACAATACAAAATGCAAAAATAATATTAAATGGAGAAACCACGGATGGCTTAAAAATAAATAAAGGAGTAAGGCAGGGATGCCCATTAGCCCCATTGCTGTATATATTATCTGCAGAGGTATTGCTGGTCCAGATAAGGCAGAATCAAGATATTAAAGGATTGACTATCAAGAAAGAGGAGTATAAACTTCAAGCCTTTGCTGACGGTATGGTATTCATTACAGAAGACCCAAAAGAGAAAAGTAATATATTAATACGCGAAATAGAAGTATTTGGAAAGGTGGCAGGGCTTAAAATTAACAAAGAAAAGACTAAAATAATAACTAAAAATTGTACTAAAAGGCAGAATGAAGGATTAGCAAGCGAATTAGGAATGCAGATAGTGAAAAAAGTAAAATACCTTGGGATTTGGCTTACAGTGAAATGCTCTTCAATTCAATAAAATAATTATGATAAATTGATATTTCAAATTCAAAAATATCTAGACAATTGGGCTAAAATACAACTTTCATTGCTGGGGAGGATAGCAACTATAAAAACAAATGTTTTACCAAAGCTATTATATCTGTTTCAAACAGTGCCAGTCAAGCTAGCAAGGAATTTTTTTGAAAATTTAAACAACAAAAAATAGCGAAATTTATTTGGCAGAAGAAAAAAGCCCAGATAAAATATAAGTTATTGCAAGATAACAGAAGTAAGGGAGGTTTTGGCTTCCCTGACTTTGAGCTATATTATCAAGCTGCAGTAAGCACATGGATTAAAGATTGGATGAATCTGACAGATAAAAGAATATTAATGATAGAAGGCTATGACTTGCAGCTTGGCTGGCACGCATTTCTCTGGGATGGGAAAAATAAGTGCCATACTTATTTTCAAAGACACCTTATTACATGTCTGGGAGAAATTAAAAAAGAACCAGTATGTGAAAATACCTCTCTGGCTATCGACGATGGAAGTGTTGATATATCCCAGTGCTCTAGATTTAAATAAAATGATAAAATATAAAGAACTTCTAAATGAAAAGGGGAATTAAAAACACAGAATCAATTAAAGTCACAAGGAATTGAAATAGGATGGTGGCCTTATATCCAGGTTCAAACACAATATAAAAAAGACAAGGAACAATTTGGTTTTTGTACAACACAACAAGAATTAGACAAAATATTACAAGGGGTCAGAAAAAATGATTAGTAAATTATATAACTATTGGAATACAAAATGGAGGAGGAAACGGTTAAAGAAAATATGATAACCTGGGCTAAAAATTTTGGCTATAGTATTGATCTGGAGCAATGGGAAAATATTTGGCAAGTAAATTACAAGTTAACAATGTTGGTCTCCTATAAGGAGAATTTATATAAAATGTTCTACTGCTGGCACATCCCTTCAGCGAGACTAGTCAGAATGTTTCTCAACATGATAGCTAAATGCTGGAGATGCAATCATAGCCAGGGAACATATTTTCACATGTGGTGGACCTGCCCTCAAGCACGGAGGTACTGGCTCAAAATTAAATCCTGGTTAGAGGAGCTAATGAAACAAAAGATCAAATTTAAGCCAGAAACATTTCTGTTAGGCATGTTAGAATCTAGCTTAAATAAAAAATATCAATATCTAATACTCCATATTATAACTTCTTCTAGAATTTCCTTCACCCAAAACTGGAAACAGGCTACGACTCCCTCAGAAATAGCAATAATCAACAAGATATATGAATGTGCTGAGATGGTTAGATTAACAATGTTATTAAAAAACAAGGAAGAAGAATATTTCAGGATATGGGATATATGGTACAAATGGCTAAGGAAAAGATATAAAGATGCCAAATGATAAAGAACAAGAAATTGTAAAGTAATATAGCTTATGTGTAACTTACATGTATGTATGTATATATATCTAAAAACGTTTAGAATAAGGAAGAATTTCATATACCTATAGATAAAATACCTATGGGTGTTCTTAATCAATGTAAACACTGTTACAATATCATTGCAAAATGTGGAAATTCATTTTTAATTGTTGAAACGTTGAATAAATAAATTTATTAAAAAATAGTTCATAGTTAAAATGGGCATTGTCTTGCCTCTTCCTAATACACTTCATCTATTAGGCTTTCCTAAAACTGAACCATTAATGCTGGTTCATTCACAGGTATATTGTAGTTCAACATAAAAGCACAGGTATATTGTAGTTCAACATAGACTTAAGCCCCTTTTGTAAGCATTAAAGGTCTATCTGTATTAGCCTTTGAGGAAGACTCTTCAAACATTCTCACAAAGCCAGTGAAATTTGTTAAGAGTGCTGCCTGAAGACATAAGGAAATGCTTTAGTTCTCAAATTGGTAAAACTCCCAACCCAAGACCAGTTATTCAGATCACTTCATATTAGAAATGTAGTATTGTGAATGTCTTTGGATTCCTTTCCCATTTTTTGAGTGAAAAACTTGGTATTTTAGGCAAGTTAGAGAATGAGGCAGGAGGAGTTTAAGCAACTGACTCCATGGATGCTGCATTGTATGACAAGTGCAGCTGTCCCAAAGAATTTGGTTTTCTTGTATACGCTACTTTAGCTAAAGATCTTACATATTTCCAGATTCTGACAGGGTTAAATAGAAAAGCCGTTGTTAGTCAGTATTAAGCCAGATTGTAAAACCATAAATTAAACCAGAATTGTTGAATTAGTGTTGAAAAAACTTAGACAAATATAGTATTACAATTCCTGCAAAGAATCAATGTGTCAGGGAGTGAAATGTATGCAGTAATTGATATAAGCTCAAGTATCAGCAATGCTGAAGACTTTGAGCACCATAGATAAATTTGCTCCAGCTAGGCATGAACCATCTGGGCAACCTTAACACAATCCTCTTATTCTATATCAGGGGTGTCAAACTCACAGCCCATGGGCCGAATGCGTCATGTGCTGACCCCGCCCCACCCAGTTTAGTGAGGGGGGGGAGTCCCAATACATCACGTGCCGCAGCCGTCACGATGTAAGTTTGATACCCCTGTTCTACATCCAAGTGCAGTTAAAAGTGTATAGTCTTGATTTGGTCAGAATATAATTCTGCAAAGCTTCATCTCCCTGCATCAGTCTTTTTGAATATTCTCTCTCCCTATTGTTTCCAGCATTATCAGGGCTGGCAGGGTTTCTATCTAGTAGCAAGTTCTAAAAAGCCTCTGCTACAGTCACAAATAGTAAGACTTGCATATGCCTTCCAAGGGTATATGGGACTTGGTGTTGTCATTTGAAATACCAGATTTATCAGATAGATTTCTTATAGGGGTGATGATATGCCTGTCTGGAACTGACATTTCAGGTTGCATCTTGCTTTTTCTAGTTGCATTCAGCTCTAGTATAAATAAATTGTTACATTGCCCAAATTGTTACACTACTTTTCAGTATTCTTTAGCCAGTCTCTTAATCTGTGAAAATGATACACAATTTTTCTGAGTTAGTCTCTTTTTCTAGCTTACCACCCTGGCTCTTGCCAGCAGACTTTTTGATGACATTTTAAATGTAGCATTTCCTATCCTGCTACTTTCCAGATGTGTTGAATTACAAAGTCTTCATGAGTAGGGGTGCATCAGAGGCAAATAGGCATAGCCAGTTCAGCTTTGATTCTTTATTATGTATATTACAGTAATAACTAGGTTTTGTTTAGCAATCCATTTCTTATATTAATTTGAACAATTCCAATTTTCTGCATTAATTATAAACAGGTTTGAGAGTTTCTAACCCATGTTTTTTCTGAGTTTTCTAATTAATCTCTTTTTTACTTTTACTATTTGCTTTATGGTTGCATTTTGTTTTATTGAATGCAGTCTATACACAATTGGTTTTAAGATGAATGGTTGTACAATAAGTTAAATAAATAAATAATTGTCAAATGGCAAGTATAATGCAAACTATCTTATGGCTCAAGTTTCTCTAACTTTATTCCCAGATGGGTAAAATTAAACTTCTCATTAGGCACATTCTATGTCCATATTGATTGAAAATGTTGTTAGTCAGTGGTGGGATTCAATTTTTTTTACTACTGGTTCTGTGGGCGTGGCTTGGTGGGCGTGGCAGGGGAAGGACACTGTAAAATCTCCAGTCAGAGGTGGGATTTGCTGGTTCTCCGAACTACTAAAAATTTCCACTACTGGTTCTCGAGAACTGGTCACAACTTCTGATGTTACTTCTACTTTACTCCTTCAGGAAAATATTACTTTGAGGGGAAGGCTACTGTAAGCAAGATATAAGATATAAGCATGCACATATCTGATTCCAAAATATTATCCATTAAGTTTAAACTCTTGAGCTAAGTACAAGATATTCTATTTATGAGCCTATTCATAATCTCCAAAGAAAAACTATTCACTGTGGAAAAGTGTAAATTCAGTAACTGAAGAAAATTGGCAGGTTTATGCTAGTAGCAGTCTATATTTCATTATATATATATTCATTTTATATATAAAATGGTGCAAAACTTATCATCTCAAATGCATATAATTAATACATGGAGAAATTAAATAATGTTTTTATTTCATGGAAGCAGAGTAAACATGATCTTTATTATCATTATTTTCTATTATTCAGCTCCAAATGTGGCCCCTTCTGAGGTTGGAGGAGGAGGTGGAAGCAACAGAGAACTGACAATAACATGGGTGGTAGGTATTATCCAGTATATTTTTATTGTAAAAGAATGTTGTAAACTGTCCAGAGTCACTTAGGTAAGATAGTCAGTGTAGACATTAAATAAATGAAAAAATAAATAAACAGAAGTTACATTCTTCTGCTGAAATAAATGTGTTCTGTGCATATAAAATAGATCACTATAGAATGCAGGTTATTAGAAATATTACTAAATAATTTGCAAGTATACATGATGAGCTTTTGTACCCATACTTATATTTTTTAAGATTCAAAATTCCTTTTTAAAGTGGTCTTAAAAGCTAAATGGAATAAAATTAACAATGGTGATGATGATATTATAATATATTGAATAAATACTTGGCCATTTCTTTCTTAGACCAGAACATTAAATTAGTACAGTACACATAAACTTATAGCAAACAGACTGCTTGGTACATGCATGCACACAATATAATACAGACCAACTACAATATTGATTGCTAAATAGTATAGTCAAATTAGAATTTTTCTTGATGACCATTGTCTCTATTTGGGTCAGTTAGATTTTTTTCGGATCACTGGTTAAAGCATGGCTACTTACTTTGTGGTCTGGGATCTGAAAAAGTGCATCACAAATCACACCAAACCTTTTAAACATGAAGTGATTGCTTGAACCTAGCATATGCTTAGAATAAGCTTGCTTTGATAACATGTTTATTCCATGTGACTAAAGGAGTTGCAAATCTAAACAAGGAGCGAGAGCAGCAGAGAAATGTCCATTTGGCAGATAATGTGCATCCTCTCTCACCTAGTACCTTGTTTCCCCTCACTTTAAATCACGTAGACTTTGGTGTCTGCAATGCCCTAAGACAGTGGTGGCTAACCTTTTCCGGCTCCCGTGCCGATAATTGCATGTGCGCTTGCTTGTGCATGCTCGTGTGCCAGCACCCAGAAGGCAATGTGTGCTGCCCCCCCCCACACCCCCTGTGCAAGCACGTGCAACCCCCCCTCGCGTGCTGCGCTTCTGTGCATGCATGCGAGATTCCCCCTCGTGTGCCGTGCATCTTTGTGCATGCGTGCGCAACTCCCTCCTCACGTGCAGCACATCTGCCCATGCGCGCATGATCCCCTTTGTGCACAGCGCATCCCTGCACATGCGGGCATGATCCCCTCGTGCTCAGTACATCCCTGTGCAGCCCCCTGTGCATGCGCACCAGATACCCAACAATCAGCTGTCGGGCAACGGTGCGTGCGCACATGCACAATGGGGCTCTTCTGAGTGACCTCTCGCTTGCCAGGGGAAATGGCTCTGCATGCCACTTCCAGCACGTGTGGCATAGGTTCACCAACACGGCCTTAAGATGTCCTTTGATTTTATAAGCTTTCTTGGCTAGCAGTCAGAAAAGGCTTGCTTATTTGTATGAGATCTCCCATGGCTTGCAAGCAATAAGGGTTTTTTATGGCTTGCAACTAATAAGGATTTTTTATGAATATGAATAATTACATAGCTTTTTGATAAAATGAAAGCAAGATCCCCCCACCAAAAATCCTCTATGATTCATAAATCTTGTACAGATCCAACATCAGCAGCATGAAGAGTAGAGTAGAGTAGAGTAGAGTAGAGTAGAGTAGAGTAGAGTAGAGTAGAGTAGAGT